GTAAAATGACACGTCACACACGAAGGCAACGTCAGCGTTCTTTTGTCACTCTTTGTCACTGTGATTCAGTATGTAATATATATATATATATAAATATAAAATTATCGATGAAAAAAAGTTGATTTAGAAAAAATTCTAACCCGACTTCTATATTAAAGATGAACATTGTAGAAATAGAGAGTAGTTTACAAAGTCTGGATATTCTATCCTTTTCTCTAGATTTTCGCTGGTTTTGTAAGTTTTTTTCACATTTTTCTAAGAAATTTTAAACGTAATGGACTGGATGATTAATGAATAGTGTCATAATGTCTCCTTTTTTTCAAAATGTATCTAAAATTGTGTGCCGGTACTACGTCACCTTTTTGTGAGGATGATTTCAAGATAGAGTTGCTAATTCGTTTGTTTATGAAGAAAACAAATGAACCAAGGTTGGTGATACTTATTTTTACCTACGTTATTTTCTCGCTTCTTATTTTTCTATTCACCAGAAAAATGTTTTATTGCAAAAGTAGAGAAAAAGCGTTTAAAACATTACTTATTTTAGATCAAAATGACCTATACTGTGTGTGTGGGTGTTACTCATACTGTAATTTTTAAATTATTTTCTATGCATAAACCAGTGTATTGACGCACATAGAGTATAATGCCTGCTTTGTAGTGCGGTACCGATTTAATTTGTTGTGTTGCTATTGTTGTATTATCATAATACACCACAAACCATTTGAATAATTTCTTTAAAGTCTCTAAAGTACGCAATGTATGATGATATGATGATCACTAAAAATAACTTTTTGTATTATTTATGTATGACGATTTGACAAATTATAGATTAGTATACCATACGACTCTCCTGTTTGAAATAGCTTTTGTCTCTTGTTTTAAAAATAATATATAAACAGCATATGTGAAATAGTAGAATAAAAAAAATAACAAAAATACATCGTTTATGGTAACAGATGTATAGAAATCAATTAGATATGTCATCTGTTGTCGTGGAATGCTGATTGACAAGTGAAAAATTCTATTCTATATTGATATCCTTTTCGACGATGACAAATAATCTTTACTAATGTAATTATTCTTTGATATTGTACTATGCTCATTTCGTTGTATATATAGCGTATTATTTTCTAATATATTTCCTATATAGAGTAAGTGTTTGATGTTAGCCGGTGAACGACGTATTTTATAGCGTTTTCTACTAGTTCTAAAACGTAACATAGATGGTTGTTGATAACAACACGATATTAATTGTCGATTGTGAGAGTTTTCTACTGATATTAATGATGTAGAATGTCGTACATCGATATGAGTAGTAGAAGTGTTTCTTAATTGTTGATGATTATTCATCAATATTTTCTGATTTGTAGGTGTTAACAACGAAATATTATCATAGTGTTGCATATCAATTGATGCTTGTCTAGCCACCACCTCTTCTAATTGTGCTTTTGCTTCTTCAGTATTAAATGCTACTAAACGTAAAACAAGTAAATTAATTGATGATGCCATAATTGTTAAACCGACTAAGATGAAACCAATTGTAAATACAACATATCCAAATTTGGAATATAATGATTGAGATGTCTTCTGTAAACTTGCTAGTGGAACCAAATCACCAAAACCTACAATGAACGAATAACTATTTTTTCTTGTCTCTTTGGAAAATCATATCACCGGAAAAAAAAATAAAGTTGATTTTGAGTTGCTGAAAAGCGCTTTTTCGTATTCAGTACACTCGATAACCTAGAAAATTTTCTATTTTCGGCGAGAGGTACTTCCAAAAGTATAGAAAAAAGTTTTCAAACTAATAGTATTTTCTCATGGAAATTATTTTGCGTCATTTTGTTTGAAAAGTTTTCCTAAACTTTTGGAAGTACCAATCGCCAAAAATAGAAAATCCTTTGGGTTATCGAGTGTGCTGAATACGAAAATGCACTTTCCAGGAACTCAAAACCAAATTTAGTTTTTTTGTTCCGGTGATATGCTTAATAATTTTTCTCTGTCACCTAACCTATAGTTGATAAAGTAATAAATGAATAATAGATTGATTCAAAATAGGACCATTTCTCTTTGCTGGAAAATACGAATGAAGCACCGAGTACAACACAAGTACTCAAAGCAAATTCGACGGTAATTAATTCAATATCGGATACGTCTGTGCGACGTCGAAATCGTCTTTTTACATGAGACAATATAAATGTAATCAATGCATTCAAACGTTCACCGGCCGATTGAAACATAATCAACCAAAGAGGACTAAGTAAAAGAAATTTTTGCTTGTATTTTAAAAATTAAAAAAATTAACTAATCCACCTACATTCCTGCCATTGCATAAACCATACAAAATACTTTCCCACTCGCTAGCGATGTAAAGATGAAAAGGTAAGAGCGGACTTTGAAGAAGAAAAAGATGGTAAATTGTTTTTTACCTGTTTTTGGAGTCGTATGTCCATAACATAAAAAAATAGAAGATATTACACGATAGACATTAATGTTTTAGATCACGAAGAATAACGTAAATTGGTCATTTTCTACCTTTACTAAAGATCTCCTCACCTGAGACTACCTTAATAAATAGCGCTGATGTTTGCAAAAACAAATGAAATCAGGATTATCCTAACCGCTGATATTCTAAGGTTTAATCACTCCCAACCATTTCATCTCACTCTCAGCTCATGAAAATTTTGGTGAACGGTTTGATAAACTATATTTATGATTAAAATAAATGGGAAATGTGATATACAAATGACACAGTGTATGCACATACAAAAATGCGTAATAGATGGGCGGATAAGGCTGGTTTGTATCCCACAATGAAAACGATTTTTTTCGATCAACAACGTCTCATGGAGTTACTAGGACCATTTTCCTATGATTTAGTTTCTCGAAACTTTTTATGAAGTGTTTAACGCCTGAAGTTTCATTCAGGGTTTCTGACAAACCTTTTTCTGTGAGCTTTTTTTGAAAATATATGGGTTTGATGCAGGATTTTACGCTGATCATGAATATCGTCTTTAAAATTTAAAAAGTTGATTTTTCATGGAACAGTTAAAAACTAGTCTGAAATGTTTGCTCTTTAAGAATCTATTATCGGAAAATAATTTACTTGCATTAATTCTCAAAAAATTTAAGATAGTATTTATAAAAGAGGAACACACTCATATTTCTGCTCGTATTTTTCTCAGTGTAACGCAAGGAGATCTTGAAACAATACGAAATTGATATAATGCAGACAAGTTTTTATGTTTTATCGAATGGTGATATTATCAAAAACAAATGACACGCTTTTTTAGAAAATCTGGATCTATGTGCTTTTAAACAGTTTTTTTATAGTATTTCGTGATATTTGTCATCTAAACAACACTTGGTGTCAACGTGAGTTGATAATTGAATCTACCCAAAGATGGAGTCGAATGATGTATATTACACGAGTTTTCAAATACTTCCGATTTTACATCCAAAAATTTGCGTTTGGTCCCCCCTGACTATGAAAAAATAAAACTTCTAAGAATCAAGCTCTGTCAGCTGAATTCCCTACAGAATATCATATTTCCACGTTTTATACTAGAGTAAAGCAGTAAAACCACAGAATATGAGATTTTATTTTGTCATTTTCTTGAGGGAGATCAAAAGGCAAATTTTCAGATTTGAAAACCGGTTTGGCTCCGTCTTTTACATAGATTCAGATATCAATCTTTCATTGTAGAATACAAACCAGTTATACCCTTTTTGAAGAAAGAAGATTATTCGTACTCGATGTTCAAACAAAAGCAGCCGGTTGAAAAATAAGCATCAATACGTCTCCTAATGATAAAATGTTTAGTGGAATAAAAATTTCATTTTAATTTCAATAATAGTATTAGTATAGTACAGTATAGATGAAGAGACACTTTTTTCGTCAAGCATAGTTTTTCATACTTTATCATAACTGATGACATTTTGAACATACCAATAAGAGCCAGGACAAGTGTAGAAAAATAAAATGAGCCTGGATATGTCCATTGTTTTGTTGTTCCAATTCGATAATATCGATTTTTCCACACAAAGTTTGTGACAAAATTAAGGCTTTCTTGAGAAATTTGTTTACTTTCGTTTTTATATAATATTCTCGCCATATTTGTCTTTAAAGCTGCATTTAATCGAATTTCCTCTTTGGATTCCACTAATGAATATAGGGAAAACATATATTGATATGTGTAAGAGCTTTAGATTAAAATACTCACGAGCATCAAAAACGGCAGCACCAATAAGTAGATAGATAAATGTAATGACAATTAATATGATTGCTCGACAATTTTGTTTTTTACAAAGCATTACATCCAAAAATACAGAGCAAGAACAAGTAGTTCACATAAAAAACTTGCTCGCTGGAAAATATTGGCTGTATCGTCTATCTAATGACTTTTGACGCTTTTGCAACATGAAAAAATATAATTCAACACCAAAAAATGATTGTGAGAGAGAGAGAGAGAGAGGGAGGGGAGAGAGAGAGAAAGAGAGATGTGTTGTTTTTTCTTTTTCATTTTTTTCCTTCTTTCCGTTTTTTTCATTGTCATTTCAATAATATCTCTACAAAAAAAATGGTACATGATGATCATCATCATCCATGACAATTTTGTAGAAAACTTTTTTTTGTCCCTTTTAGAGTGTCTTGTTTCCTCCTATTTTCATTTAATATCTGCATTTGATAAAAAGAAAACATTAGATCATAAGAAGACTTTTATTCAAGATTGGAAATTAGAAGGATGATGTGGATCAGCTGCTCACAATATATAATACAAGAAACAGAAGGAAGAAAACAATTTAAATTGGAAAGTAGATAGCCTTTTTTGTGTTGTATCCATCATTTACACTTTGATCATACTACTTTTACTCTAAAACTATCATAGTGCATGTATCAAATTCATTTGGTTAGTATTTATTAACAATGTTCTGAATGCTCTATATACACATAAGTAATTTGAGACTGTCGAGAAAATAATTACTTTTTTCTGTATTAGTTTAAAGAAAGTATCTACGCAAACTTTAGTTCTGTCTTCGCTAGATGAACTGAATTGGTAAAACAATCGTTTTTTCTTTCTGAAAAGAAAATACAACTAGTATATTTTTTATTCTAGGCAGTTTTGTTTTTTTTTTCATTCATTCTTTACTTATCTGAATTTCCCGGTAAGGAACGGCTGCTACTTGTTGAGGTTAGGATGCTTGTAACAAATGTTTTTGAGTGTCAATAAAAACGCCTAGTATATACTTCTCAGAATAAAAATCACTTATTGATCATTTCGAGTGTATTTTTAATTGTCTGAATATACACACAAACGAAGAGATGAAACAACTGAAGTCTTGTTTATTTTCAAATTTTTTCTAATAAAAGTTTTTCTATTTCTTCTTTTCTTATAAAAAAAATTATATTATGTGAAATATGGGTAGAGAGCCAATAATCTGCAAATATAACGGATTGTTAAACAATTTTTAAAAAAATAATACAATTGGGTTATTATGTGATTATTATACGTGACTTCAATATTGAGAGAGGATATAGATCTACTTAACAAAACGGAAAAACAGGAGAGACAAAAAGAAATTGAATTGTTCTAGTGTGTGAAAGGGTGTAAAAAAAAGACAATTAATTTGAATATATTCTTCTTCATATAAGTGTAAATAAAAAGTTGTTAGTTTAGTTGTAGTGGAGTATAGTTTTGAACAAAATGTGTGCGTGTGTATATGTCCATATTTGTCTATAATTGAATTAACAATAGACATAGAATAACGCAAATGTTAATTTTATTATTATGGTATGCTGCTTCATGTATAGAATTAGATAATATCAATATTAACAATAACATCAACAACAACAATATAAGTTTAAACGAGAGACAATATTCCTAGTACTTTCTTATCTGTAGATAATAAACGAGAAAGGTTGAAAAGTCATCATCTTTTCTAACTAAAACTTATGAGCATAAACTAAAACATTTTTTCTTCCGTTATGTCGATTATGATGATGTGTGTGTTATTGCTCGGTTTAATCAAATAAAGATATAATTTTATACACACTCATTGTTTTTCCCTAGTGAATTTTTTCTATTTTTCACGGAGAATGAGAAGAAGAGAACTAGTTTTTGTTACACTTATTGCAAGAGTATTATTATCATCAAAACAAAACTGAACAAAGGATAAGACTAAATATACCTTACGAAAATCAAACAAATAAAAGATTTTTTTTTTTTTTAATAAAAATATTCATGAATATTATTGCCCTATAATGTTTATATTACAAAGTTTGAAAAAAAATGAGTCTAGAATCAATGTTTTAGTCCAAAAAAGACCTGACTAAATGAATGACAACAATGTTGGAAAAAGATCCTAATAGACAATTTAAGCAGTGACATCAGCAAATAAATATATCTTGTTGCGAATATATTACATACCTCTGTTTTTTTCGGAGAAAAAACTGAACTATAATATCGCACAACTAAGTACATAAGGTAAAGATTTTCTAACGTTTTTATTGCTTGTTTTATACACTATGCTAAAACTTTACTTAACGGTTAATGTTAACATTTGACTATTTTATACTGTCTCAATATACCTTTGTGCACTTTCTTTTCTGCGTTTCTTTTCGCTAATTCTATTATTCATAACAAATGCTTTCTAATTATTTTACTACAATATATAATCCATTTGTTGCTCTCTTTTCTTTTTTAATTTTCATATTTTCTGGTGTGAATAAACTTCTTTTTTTTTACACTCTTCGTTGAACTACATTGAAAAAAAGTTCTTACAGCTTCTATGCGATAAAAAATGGAAAAGAAAAGTAATTATTTTATCAGTATCACAGCTTTGTTTCTTCGTCTCTCTTTTACTAATGCGTTGTTTGCAATAAAAGCATGCACTTTTTTTTTCTTCAGTTAATTTCATTTAATGAACAAAGATTCTTTATTATTGTTTTTTTATTATGTGAAATTTCTACTAATGAAAATAGATTACATGAAATACATATAAATGTCAATTTTTGAGCACGATAACGCATAGAACACATCTTTCAGGTTTAATTAGATCTAAAATCATCTAGAGATGGAGATCAAAGATATTTTTGTTCTTATACGAGTATAATACTTCTAATAATGATTTATTTTAATAAAAAGATAGTTTTCAAATTCCAATTATGATTAAAATGTTCTGTGACAAACTTTATTGAACATGTTTATAGATATAGACTCATCAACTCATTCAAAAAACTGGTATAATCCTACCGAAATTGTTATCGTCACTGTTACTATCGTAAAAAAATAACGGTAAAACAAAATATTTCCAGAAACATTGTCATATTAGAAGGAGATGAAGTGAGGAAAAAAAATATATTACACACGAGCTGGTTCAGTCTTTCTTTTTTTTCTCTTTTTAATCTGATTCCAAACAATCATGTCTCGTATGGCAGACTATTAAATATTACCTTCTCAAGTGTAAAATGGTTATTTTCATAATAAGAGTAATAATAACAATATATGACTAAATCGATAAAAAGATATATGTATGTTTAATAAGCAAATCAATCATGCTTACAAAGATATTTGTTTTATATATATAGACAAAAATATTTAGAAACAAACACATCAACAAATTTCAATAATATTTTCTATCATATACAATGAATTATCGAGTGAATGTTATCTTATTTGTGAATCAATTAATTCGGTGTAGATTATGATAATGAGAAAAAGTAGCTGAACACAAACATCTCCTTCTCATAGGTTTTCGACTGAAAGAAGAGAATAATTCGAAGGTTATAAATTCATTGTTAATCTTGAAACATTGATGAGAAATGTTATAATATGTATGAACAAAATGTTTCGCGCATTTTATATAGATCATTACCGCCAAATTTCATAGTCGATTAAATTATTTCTTTTTCAAATATCCATTAATTTACAGCATAAAACGATTTCTCATTGAATTTTTCCTTTAATTTCTTAATTCCTTCAATTATATATGGATCATTCTATAATTCTTGCTCCTGTTAAACAACAAAAAAAGTTTGATGATAAAATGAGAAAACACAAATCTCAACTATTAAAACGTTCATTATCAAGTGATTCATTATCAATAAGTCAAACAATTTCAAAATATGCTAAAACTGTTATTACTACAGATAAAGTTAGTCCAATTGATATACATGAATATTTTTTTAATGAAAGACCATTTTGTAATACTAAAATATTAATTAATTCACAAATTATTTATGTTGATAAAGCATCATTGGCCGCTGCATCACCTGTTCTTTGTGAACAATTACAATGTAAACAAGAAAATGAACCATTGAAATTTGATGATATTAATTTAAATGATCTATTAGAAATGTTACAATTTATTTATCCTATTTTTGATCCAGAAATTAATGATAAAAATATCACTGCACTTATTGAATTATCACATCGTTTTCGTTTTGATGTATTAAAACATGCATGTCAATATTATGTTTTTAAACATTTAACAACTGTTCGACGAGTTTTAGGTAAATGTAGTGCCTGTGGTGATTTTAATAATGATAATATACAAAAACAATTTATAAATGAACATGATCTTATTGAATTTCGTAATCGAACATGTTTAGATGCTTCAGATGAAATATGTTTATTATGTCGTTGGTTAAAAATATATTATTATGATGATAATTCATTAACAATAAAAAATGCTATTATAACAATATTAAATCAATGTTCAGTAAATTCAATTGAAAAAGTAATAAATTCAATCAATATGGATGATAAATTAAAATGTTTTATTTATAAAGAGCGAGCAAGATATTTGGAAAAAATAATAATTAAATAAAATTAACATATTAGCTAAAATAGTTTATAGATTATGTAGCGAAAAATTTTTATTTGAGAACAAATTTCACACTACTTAAAATAAAAAATTAAACTTTTTAATGATATCGACATGTTCGATCTAATCGAGTTGTAGTAGATATCTTATAGAAAAGAAGACAAAAATTAACTGTTCTTTATCTCTCTTTTCCCTTCCCTTCCCCTCAATGATACATACGTTCAACATAAAACTTTTCAACATAAAACTTTTCGCTGACGAAAAAAGGAGATGTTCGGTTAGCGTCTCATAAAATCAGATTTTAGTACTATCTGACTACTCACTCTTCAGAACATTAGTATGTTTTTCTGAACTTAACGTAAACCACTTTTACCATTCCACAAGACGAAGTATTTCTAATCTCAAGTCATCCTCCATGATACATCGCTATTTTCGTGTGAAGTCTAATCAAATAAAAAATAGCTAAATTAACTTTTTTTTTTCCATTAATAAAATTATCCATCAAGCGTTTATTCGTCTTCTTTTATCATTTTTTCCAGAAGGTATGATAACATTTCATCATTCAAACAGTTTATAATTTCTAATAGAAATGGTTCACAGTAAACATGCAGGCGAACATTTAGCAAAAAATTAAAAGTAAACTTTTTACAGATTTCTAATGTTCTAGAAAATTGACTACGATACATCAATAATTTATTAGCATAAGAATTTTTGTTGTAACTGTCAAGGATCAGAGGCAAGCAATTTGCTGACAATTATCCTGAACACACGGTGCTATACATTCGAACTTTTTTTACTTTATCCTCATGGATTAGAAATAGAAGTGTTTTTCAAGCTAATTAAAATTTTTCCAAGAGACGTGTTTAAAATAATGAGTTAAGCTCATTCCGGATCGTCTTCAGTCTTGCACAAACTTTGACAAAATGTTGTGTCATGTACACCACGACTAAAATACGACCTTTTTCGAACGTCGCTACAAAATTTTCCCAAATCCTGGTTTTCGAGGTAAATTCTATTTTTCTCTATCAAAAATTTCACTTGGTGCCCTTATTATGCATTTCTTTATTAAAAACTTAAAGTTTTCAGACTAAAGTTTTTTTCTTTTGACACTAGTATTGTCAAATAGAGAGAGAGAGAGAGAGAGTCATTCATTCTAAGTCAAAAACGATAATTTCCGATCCAAAGAAAAAAAACTCGATGTTCGCCTGTCTAGTGAAAAGTGACTACTTTGATGATCCGAGCTAAAAACTTAATAATTGAACACGCATGTTGCTAGTTTAAATAACGATTACTCAGTTAAGATATCAAATAAGCTACATCTCACAGACTTTTCAGCCTTTTATCTTCAAAAAATTATGATTCATTAGAATTTAGTTGAACTAAAACGTTTTACCCTATTTAGCAGCCAAGACACAAAACGGAATATTTTGAACAAGGGAAAGGATTTCTACTTTTTTCAATCAATGCAGATTAAAAAAATTAACTAATTTTTTGGGGAAAATTTGTGTAAACAATAATTGTAGTTTTTTGATCGGTGACGTATCCTCTAGTGAAATGATTTTCTCTATATTTCTTCTTCAATGATTTAGATTAACAATTTCAAACTCGATAAATACCAGTGACTTTTTATGTAGAATTTATAAAGATAAAGAAAATATCGAAACTATATTAATATATTTATTCAAGATTAAATAATATGAATGAGTGGCTGATTTCGTAACAATAATTGAAATTAGTTAAAATTGTTTGTTTTCGTTACATGTTGTTTTATTATACTTTCTTTTATAGTAGAATAGATAGTCTACATTTACAGAGAACAAAGTATCTTATCTATTTAAGTTAAAGTATAAAAATAGAGAAAAATGTTTCTTTTTCTTTCTACATTTTATCTCTTAATCACTAGCTATGACGTAGGAAAAATATCTAAACAAAAAATCTGTTCCTAATTATTTATCTATTCTCTTTATAATAGATTATGTAATCAGTGAATTAATAATGCGAGCAAAGCTGTAAAATAACATGTATATTTTCTCTTATATATTTAGTATTTTTTATGAGTAACATTATTTCTGAAGTATTCTAGTCCAGTTAGAACAGAGAGAAAGAGAGAACTAGAGTAGAAAATGCAAAATGTCATTATCAGTTATTACGTTAAACAGACATGAAACAAAATGGGACAATGTACCGCAGGCAAGGAAAAAAATCTGATACCTCTTTTTGACTATAGTTAATAAAAGAGAGTATTTTGTTGTTGTTGTTGTTGTTGTTGTTGTTCGGTCCTATATTTTCAGTGAGTTAATCAGTTGACAACATAAAAATCAAGCTACAAACTTATAAATTTAGAAGAAAAAACAAAAATTTATATTCAACTCAGCTATTGTGCATTGAATATTGACAAAAGATGAAAGAGGCTATTTATGAATATCTAAATCATTCAGATTTGCTTGTCTTTTTCCATGTTGAGTTTAACTTTATTACACGTTCAATCAAAGAATGTAAAAAAAAGATGTATCATTATCATTAGTATTATCAAAGCAACTAACATTTATTTGATGTCAAGAGATATAGAGAGAAAAGCTTTTAAACATCCGTTTCATAAAAATCTATAGTATATAAAACTACAAAAAAAAGAGGATGAATGTTCATCTTTCCTGATATCCCTAAATAAAAGAGAGCATGAGTGAATATTTTGTTTTGCTAATAACAGTACTCGAATAAGTATCTAATATATGGATGAATGAATGAATTTGTTATAAAAAAGAAAAATATGTTAGGCAGTTCACTATAAGAAACTCAACTGTTCACTTATAGTTTAATGACTTGAAATAACACGACAAAAATAAATTATAAAAGTCGATCAAATAGACAGACATCATTTATTTTCTTGAAGTATTTTAATGTATAAAATCAAAGTATAACATCGTTTATGATAAACTGATAAATTATTTAATCAGGATATTTTATCTCATTTTGTCTCATTGTCAACTTTAAACAGTACGATATAAATATTTTTATTTATAAAGTAATAGAAGAACATAGAAATACAGTTCATTTGCCATTGCCATGAAATTTTAAGAAAATGGTGCAAAAAAATGTAGAAAATAACAAGAATTGAATAAAAAAAAAAAAAAAAAGAAAAAAAAGGTGATGAAATAACATGAGATAAATACACTGATAGATCTGATTGAAGAATGATTATATAATGACACATACAACAAAGATATATAGATTTTTACGTACACTGTAAATATTTCTACAATACAACAAATTTTATTTTATTTTACTTCTGATGAACATAACATTTACATTCAAAAATGATCTAATTTAGTATTTTAATTTATATAAAAACAAAGTATAATATGACAAAAAAGTTATAAGCACATATCAGTCTAGAAAATTGTCAACACTACTTTTCAAATTCACAGAAAAATTATTCAATTTAAACAGTATTTCTCAATAAAATGCTAATGAAAAAATGTTTTTTTCAATATATAGATATATGTAAAGTGTTGAACATCTTTCAATTAAATCTAAAATAGATCTTGAAACTAAATGAAATAAAGTAAAATTGCAACGATAAATATAAATACACATATAAGAGACAATAGTCTTCTTTGGTATTTTATAAAAAATGAAATAAAATAATAAAAAGCAAACAATTAACTAAAGTAAAAACTATACATGTATCACAGTAGTTTTCATTGATCACATATAAATATTAGAAATGAATTTAAGCAAATTCTGTATAAATATCATCAATTTGATCTCTTGGCGAATAACTACGTTTAATTGATTTACATTGTTTATACATTTTATTCCACATATCAATTGTTTTTGATTCAATTTTATCACAAAATGATAAATCTAAAAATTCTAAATTTGTACATTTTTTTAAAACTAAATGAATTGATTCTTCATTAATAATTCTTGAGCCTAATATATCTAATTGTTTTAATTGTGGACAATATTCACCAATGGCAATCATATCATCATTTGTTATACGACGACATGCAGTTAAAAATAATTTCATTAATGATTTACCACAATTTTTAACAAATTTTTGAATAAAATTTGGTGGAAGATCACACCATCCAAAATCTAATTCTTTTAAATTTTCTAAACAACATACAGTTGTTGTTAAATTGTTCAATAATTCATCTGTAATACCATCATGTGGATTTTGTTTTTCTTCATCAACATTTACTCGTTCACCAATAATTGATAGAAAACCATTTTGTGATAGACCATGGGCACGCCATAAATCTAATGCTTTTAATTGTAAACATTTTGAAAATAATAATTTAACAATATAATCAGTTTCACTTAATTGTTGACAAGCACCTAAATTTACATATTCTAAATGTAAATAATTATTTTTTATCAATGGTATTAATGTACGATGATCAATTTTTGTACGATAAAAATTGATAGATTTTAAATTTTTTAAATTTTTTAATGCTATAAAATCATCACTAATCAAACTAAAACAATTTTCTAAATTAATAATTTCTAATTGTTGACATTGTTTAGAAATAACATCAATGTATGCACGATTAATATATTGACAACAAGCTAAATTGAGTTGAATTAATTTTTGTGTATTTAATAATTGAGTAAAAGATTTTAAATGAATTGATTTTGTCCAAGCTAATGATAAATATTTTATTTGTGTACATTTTAAACTAAAAAAATTATCGATTGAATAATTAGTTATACCGTACCAATACGGTTGTAAATTTAACGTTTGAAATTGTAAAGGATGTAAACATTTATCATAAAGATACCGACACGTAGATGATAAACGAACTAATGACCGTAAATCTAAATATGTACATATTGTAAATAAAATATCAAATGGTAAATTATTTAATGTTAATGACGAATATTCTTCAGTTGTTTCTGTTAATGGTATAATAGTATCATCATTTGCTAATTTTTGAGACATAAAGTCACAAAGTTCCAACTGAAAATAAACAATAGATACGTTTAAACTGTTTTATCTCTAGTCGGGTTCTTTATATGATCGGCAATCTACTATACACGTTGATAAAAGGTGCCAGATGACTTTTTTTTATAAGATAATCCTGCCTGTCAGTAGGACTCTAAAGAGCAGGACGAAATGGGGATACTTCCACCCAATAACTGACAGACCTCTGCCTGTTAGAAATATATCTCGCGAGCTACAAGTCCAGCCTAGATCAAACATTCAACGAATCTTGGCCATGTCATAATACGGTGACGAAAAATTGCTTTTGCCCCGTCTCCGTTCACAAAATGTCGCTGCAACAGAGGTAAAAATGGGATATTTGAGGTTTCCCAAAATTCTCATTCATTTTAGGTGCTAATGCGCAGCACAGAGCTGGATTATTGAAATTTTTTATTATTGACTAACACGAAACATTTCCAACAAAACTCCTAAAAACTTCTTTTAAGTTTTCCAGTGGTCATTTGTTTTTATTACCTTTAGAGACGAAAAACAGGCCAAAGAAGCAATATGTCTCTGCAAAACCAAGCCATTCCGAGCTCTATAGCATTTAAACTGACGAGGGAAGTACCCCAACTGATAAATCGCTTTTTCAACGAAATCGAGTGGACTATAGGTAGTCGACGATGTTGATTCCGAATATCACCATGAATGCTGCTGCTAGGCCTTCAAAGACCGGTCTTCAGGAAAACCAGTTTTCGAGAAACTCTAAAGAACAACCAAAAGCTTTCTTAATGAGACGTAA